ATCACAATGAAAGTAATATTAGTTTACAAATATAATCAACATTTACTAAGTTTTAAAAATGCTCATTTGTTTTAGTTTTGAGGCCAACATAAAACTACCAAATTTAATTTATACAAATCAAACATTTTTTGCGTAGCTCATCGATTTAAGTAATTTATTGCATGTCTCAGAGAAAGAGGATCAGTCAGTAGAAAAGATGAACGTTCCGATTTTTTGCCTGCTACTTTTGCAAATTTAAAATGATAACTTGAGTGCATGCCATTTTAAAACTCTCATTCTAGTTTTTTTCAGCATTTCATGGGTTAAATACAAATGTTACTATTTTATATCGTCATTTTTTCTTCCAAAGTCAAAGATTATTTATTCCATAGGTAATAGTACATTACGATATTAGTGCGTAAAGATGGTTATAACATGCGAGGCGGAGTTTCAGCTCGAGCCGAAGGCGAGGGCTTAATTGAGCCGAGCATGTTATAACCAATACGCACGTATATCGTACGACGTTTTTTAACACATTTGCGAGGAAACAGAAAAAAAACATTTTATATTTTGTTCATTTTTAATTATTGAAACAATTAGTGAAATTACAATTATTAAAATGATACGTAGTTGTAGTTGGTTTTTTAATTATGTTATTATTATTATTACTATTCATAATGTCATTGTTTTGTGTTAGGGTAAATGTTGGAGACGACGAAATTTCTTGAAAGGCGGCAGAAGAGCATTGTAATTCGTCATTAGTTGTAAATAAAAAAGTATCATCAGTAGAAGTAGAGGGGCGCGGCTCAGGGCAAAACTTCTTCGTTTGTGGCTCCAAATTTATTGCCTGAGTTATTTTGGCACTTATATTTGCTTTGTTTTGGATGGAATCTTCTACATAAGATCCTGCTACTGCGTTAGAACGCCAGCCGCCATGCCGCTTTAAAGTCAATATATCAGCTCCCGAATCAGCAAGTAATGTAGCTGACGTTCTTCTGAAACTGTGCCCTGTATAACAATCAGCATCCGGCAATCCTAAAAACTTGGCGACTTCCTTTGGCATGGTACCGAATTTATTTATGCCAATAGGTTGCGCAGTACATTTACCTTTTTGGTAATTCTGAAAGAAATGATTACTTTTTGTCTTAGTCGTACGCAGAGCTTCATATTTTTTGACCACGTCATAAAATGGGCCGTCGATAATAAAAGATCGGGGTATTTTGTTTTTAGTGTTTGGGATTTTAACTAAAAGCATTTTGCCTTGATTTTCAATGTCTTTTGTGGTAATATTGTGAAGCTCTTGCCGTCTACATGCACCATGAATACCAAATATTAACGCAACCTGAAAAGAAATAAAAATGTGTTAGATGAGGTATAGGTACTTAGCTTACAGACAGTCGTTAAAAAAATATGTAAAAGAGTATGTACAATTGTACAGTAGGTAGACCAATACATAAAATAAGGAGGCAAACTGACCTTTGTTGCCAGGTACTGGCTATCTGGAGCATATTTTAGAAACTTTTCGACGTCATTTAATGACAGTACCTTAGATTTTTTCTTTATAAAACCATCAGAGCGTCTCTTTAAAAATGCAATTAGATTTGTATATAAATTAATATCGACACCATTTTTCATCTTGAGGGTACTTTTCAGCATAGAATATGTTGTCCACAACGAGCTAGGCTTATATTTACTAGCTAGTTCATTAAAATACGCCAAAACTACATTTTCGGAAAATGACTTGGCATTTTTCATGTTTTTCCACTTCAAGAAATTTTCATACGTGGTTATGTATCTATCCTTGGATATTGACGGCAGCAAGCTGTCGCATGCGGTTCGCGCTTCTGTTAGTATATCCGGTGGAGTTGAAGTAATATATTGCTCATCTTCATTATTGAAAGTTGTCATTTTTAGATATTCACAATACAAGTACAAAGAAAAGAAAATTTGAGAAAAATGGCGCGAGGATTATTTTCTACCGTGGCTGCGTGAAAATGTTGGCAAAGACGCTAGAGCATGCAGCCAAGTTTTTAAATTACCAAATAAACTGTTTTTTTTTAAATAAACTCAATCTGTGAATGCACACTGTTGCTTTCCCGCCATTTTAACAGAACTGCCTACTGACTGGCGCCGCGCGGCGATTTGTTCGAAATTTGAATAGCAACAGCGCGCTGCTCACTAGCTGGAGTCGTGCGGCGGCGATCAGTTCCATATTTGAAATGGCAAATAATACTGTTATGGAATGTGTATGGACTATAACTTAACTATTTGCTTTGGTAACACACGCGTTTTTTATGACCCGCTTTACATATTTAAAACCGGTGGAATTACATCAGCTTTACGAGCAAGGGTGTTAAAAAATAAATTTACACTTGAAAACGTCACATTCAAGCTACTGCTCGTTCACTACGCTGACCTCCCTGAGAAGAACGAGCAAGAAACTCTAGGGATTGCTCTTTTCAAATAAACATAAATGCTATGGAATACACTTTGAATCAAATTTGTGTGGATTATGGAGCCGATTCGTCTTTCCATACATCTTTATCTAACACGTAGTCTTCAATTTTGTAATATGATTTTTCGATCAAAATATTTTTAATGTAGTTTTTAAATTTAGGAAATGATAAACTTAATATCCACTATATATACCTACAAACTTAGAATAATAACGCATAGAAGGATAGTTTCATATCAAACGAACTGTCACAAGTGAGGCAAAAACCAAATTCATGTAGGCGTAAGCAACTTGTAACTACGCTCGTCGGCACGCACACAAATATACAAATAATGATGCCATGGAATAACATTTCCCTCAAAAGTGGGGAAATTGTATCTTGCTTAACTCATCATTAAGTTAAAGGTGCCTACAGATTTGCCCGACAATGTCGATCAGGTGCCTACAGATATGCTCGGTTTTGTCGATGAAAAACGAATATAGCACTTATTTGTAAATCCAAGATGGCGGACACGATTTTTCAAAATATGCTATATGGGTATCCTTTTCGAGGTATTTGGGGAT